CCCCCCCCTACCCTTTTGGTCAAAATCAAATAAAATATTCCCCAAAGTTCTGTGGATTCATCCCAGTTTCCCACTGAATCTCTCAGTCTGGAGGGCCAATGTCTTTTCAGTGAGCAAAGCTGCATTGAGATGTTTCTGTGAGGAAGTGGCCCTGGACATGTCATTCTTGGGAAACGGGGAACAGCTTTTGTTTCATCAATAGGTAAAATTTTCCTTCATGATTGCTCTGTGTTGAACTGTCATGCTCTATGCTTTTAGGCTGCACATCTGAAGTGCTGTTTGCTTGGTATCGTTCTGTCTCCAGCAGCACTGTGAACTTCACGCTCTGTTACGTGAGGCTGAGGTACAAACCAGGGTCTAATCTGAGTGTGCCTTTAGCTATGTCTGCAGTTTCTGGGTAAGTCAACTTGAAAATACATGCCTTTCCAAGAACCTCAGGGCAACACTAGAACTACAGATTTCCAGATGTGGTAAAGTACTGAGTAAAGATACCTCTTTTTTCACTTTACATTGCCAAGAAACCTTGCCCCAGCATGATCCAGTTACCCATGCCAAGATTTTCAATGTGGTAAATATCAATTTTAGGTGCTCGAGTTTTGGTTCTGCTCTGTGTCCACAAAACCATCGTTCTTCCTGCCTGCCTCCTTTCATGCCCACATTTCTGTATCTGAATTCTGTCTCCAGAATCTTTTAAGTGCTGCTTAATGCATTGTGTCTACTTATGCAAATATCCAAGGAGGTGAAACAGAACATGAAGTGAAAATTACAAGTATAATCTTTTCCAGGAATTCATGTTTTCATTGAAACATTAAGTAACAGTGGAGAGTCTTTAACTGTGGTTATACAAGGCATGCTTGAGAAGTACCAACCACCCAGGCAGTTCAAACATTAACTTTCTAAATAGTCAGATATCAGATTAATTAAACAACCTTTTCCTGCGTCACTCTTCAGTCTAGCAACTATTTCACTCCCCCGGGTTTCAGCGTAAACTCCTTCTAGAACAAAGTGAGTCTGTAAGGCAGAAAGCAGTTATTGCAAATAATCGTACTTGCAAATGTCTTTTCTGCCTCTTGACACAAAGAGCTCTCAATTCATTGAATTCCATTGAGGGCTTATTATCTGCACTCCGAACACATAACAATGGGAACCGAGACCTGTTGGGAGCCCTATTGCCTAATGCACGGTAGAATATTGCAAGTGCAAACCATGGCCTGGGGCACTGGGGAGGCATGAATTAGTGAGAGAAACACTACTGGAAAGGAAAATCTGGGGAAAATGGAATACTGCCATTTTGGATGGAGGAGGAGGGAGATGTGAATGTTTCCACGGCAACAAGTGGTAGACTGAATTGGCTGGGAGCACAAAATACGGGAAATACACTTTTCAAAAGCAGCAATGCACATAAATGAATACTTGAATCTGTACTCACGCTGCTGTCAGTCAATAATAAATCTGAAGTCAGTGGACTTGCACTGCTGTAAAAGTAGAATCTGGCCCAAAAGATGTAACGGAATTCCTCAATCTCTCTTTTGAGATGGAATGGGTGGGAAAGTGAAGAAAAAATAGGGATTTTAGCTTTGACTGCATAAACACTCATCAGCATGATAGCAGAGAGTTGGTTTTCTCAGCAGCTTCACAACTACCCTTGAAAAGTATTACAACCAGAACCATTTAAAAAATACAGTGGTTTTGAGAAAATGTTATTCTTTTGTCTCCCCATTTTTGAAGTTACATAGACACTATTATGTGGTATATTTTGCACGTCATATATGCCAGCACAGCTTTCCCTCCAGAGTACAGAGCTAGGCTGTTAGCTGTGGGACTAAGGCAATTTGCTAGATAGCTACAGACTTACAAATGTGCTGAAAAATATTGATCTTGAAAACAACTGCCTGTTTACTTGCCATTCTTATGCAGACCACCATCAAATAGCTACTCACTCATCTGCCCATACATTATTCTTTTGTGCTAAAGTACAGGTCTCTAGCATGATGGTATATGTGGATTCATAACCGAGCCAGCAAGTCCCATTGCTGTTATCAAAGTGTTACCAGTACAGCAGCAGCAACATGCTCTTATCTGCATAGGTAGTGGCAAAATCATACAGAGAACAGACATTTCTCTTGGATCCCATTTCCCGGTCAGTGCTTCACACCTGAATGCTTAGCAGTACGTTCCTTAGCTATAAACTTCCAAGTTGTCACAAAGAGACTATGCTGCACAAGTGCGGGTAAAGTGAATGGATTTAAAGACCTCAAAATTTCATGTAAGATTTTCACTCTGCCCAGTGTGGTTACATTTCCATGCTACTGTCAGATTGTGCTCTGAGTGAGGACTCTGGGGTAGTCTGGGTTTGGTAGGGTGAAACCTAGTCAGTCCTAGTCAGAAACTCCAGAGTGGTACCTGTAGGGCTTTGACTCTTTGGCCTTTATCTGTATACATTTTTACTTTTTTTTTTTTTTTTTTTTCAACATATTTTTTTTTTCAGGGTGAAACCTAGTCAGTCCTAGTCAGAAACTCCAGAGTGGTACCTGTAGGGCTTTGACTCTTTGGCCTTTATCTGTATACATTTTTACTTTTTTTTTTTTTTTTTTTGACACATACTTGCTTTTCCTGGTGTAAATATTTTCCTGCATGCATCCACCACCTGAGCTTGTTTGCACAGTCATGTTCTATTCTGGTGGATGAGTTAAGAGCTGAGCTGAGCTGAGCTCTGCCAGTGCACATATGTGCTGGAAGTTGTGTGGGAGATCGCTTCCAATCTGTTTTGCGATTCCTGGCTATTCTAGCAATCTCTGCACCGTCTGTTCCCCAAGATGCACTGAATCTTCCACGTTCCAGGAGGAAGGAGCTAAATGAAAGCCTGTCTTCCCGGACTTGGAACAAAGATGGCTTTTTGCCATCCTTTAGACATTACCGATGAGACTAATAGCCTGCACCACAGATTGCTCTGTAAGACCACAGCAGACAGTGTGGATGCTTCCTTCTGTGCATTTACCTATAGACAGTACATTTCCTAGCTTCTAGTAATGACCAGCCCTTTTCTTCACCGGTAGAGCAGTTTCCTTTTTAAGTCCTTGTACTGACACTTGACTTCAGGTATGCCTCCTTTAAAATAATTCTTTAGGCTCATTATTAAGCAAGCTAAATGGTAAATGAAAAGACAGGGATAAAGCCTGTAGTTATACCACCTGAAGCTGCAATTCCATTAGACCTTTGATATTGTCAGGCTGTATTGAAAAGAGGTCTGGTTGGATATGAGTTAATCTTCTCATTCAGTGAATACTCTGTGATGGTCCAACTTGGTTTTAGGGATGGAGCGGGGTGGAAACCATTTTTTGTGTATTTTAGAGCTGTAAAATTAGGCTCCTGACCTATAAAGACATTTCACGAGCAACTGACTGACCAAAATACTGGAATTAACAATATTGGAGTGCAGCTTGAAATATTTCCCTGAAATGAATATACAAGGCTTGCAAGGTCAAGATGATCAAGTCTATGGTCAAGATCCATGACGCTTTCCTTCCTAAGATGATGGGTATTAATATGGCACGTCTGTGACTTGCTCTGCCTGTAACTCTTGGAACTTAATGTAAATTGTAATGTGATATCTTCTACTTGTATGGGATGTACATGGGTTTTGTGACAGGGACTGTCATCTGCTCTGTCTTGTGCAGGCACTGGAACAATGCACTGGACCCCTTTGGGTGTAAGATGCTACTATGCTACAAAGCATGAACAGCAGTCACTGAGACTGGAGGAAGGTGCTTATTCCATCTCCAACATTGCAGGGGCATCATGAAGTACACCCAAAATCTCATCTATGTTCATTCTGCAGTTTCTTTCTTAGCTGAGGGCAAGTGTGGTTATGGCAGTGATGTTTTCCTCCGTAAACGCTGGTCCATTAGGACTTGTGCTCTGATCCATATGCGTGCTTCTCATTCCCTGTCCCCTGAGGTAGAGTTTAATCAAATGCACACACATGAATGAGCTAGCCTAAATACCAATAAATGTTTCTTTCAGATGAGGCTTGAGATATTTAATATTTAATAAGCCTTGAAAATGAACTTCTGTTCATGTTTCTCAATTTGATTCCAAGCATTTTGGCGGTGAGCAGTGCTCACTGTCCCAATGTGGGCAGGCACAGCACAGATTATTTAACAGTCCACTTTGTCTCATCTGAAATATTCCTGTGTGCAGATATCCAAATGTAGCTCTTAAAAAAACACACACAAAACCCAAGTGTTGCAGTCTGAGCCTCACAGATACCTTAAATCTTTGCTTTAGGCTACACACCACAGTAATGCTATTTCTGTCATAGCTTTACCCTGTTGCTGTGGTTACTGATCAAAACCAGAGCACCCCTGCCGTCCCTGCAGCTGGGCTTACACAAACACCTTACCCATGTGAGGGCAACACTGCTGAAGTTGCTTCTTGCTTAAAGCAAAAATACAGCCACCAATGCATACAGCAGCTTTCCCTTGTTCAAGTAAATATGGAGCTATAACAACTGCCTTTATCCTCAAATTCAACTAGTGCTGACAAAGCAAAATCAGGTTAATAAATAATTATATTATTTTTTTGTTAAAGCACTAGCCTTCTTGGAGGACCTCAAAATCCTGATTACATCAGTGGAGCTGCAGGTAGATGTGGCAGAATTTTGTCTCCCACATTGACTTCTGTCTTGTTTTCTATTGAAATCAAGGGAATCCTGAGTGAAGAGAGAGTTAAGATTTTTTTCATGTGATTGACTGAGCTGAAAACATGCTACATTAGTTTGTGTATGATTCACTGCAGGAAATGGACTTGGGGGGGGGGGTAGTGTCTCATCTGACAGTGCTCAGAAGACACTCCATTGTAAAGGGAGGTTCCTCCCTGTTCTTAGACAGACTTACTTTGAGAGTTTCATTTCAATTTGCTGCCGGATTTCCTGTCTTTCCTCATCTGTCCTCCTTGGGAAAATATTCCTGTCTTCCAGCTCCTGCTTGCTTGGTCTGTTTCGTAGTTTTACTGCCAGCAGTTCTTTCTTGCATTTTCTTGGCAAAGTACCTGGGACATGCATTGAAAAGAAAGTTATTAGAAAGACAGCTCCTGGAGATGAAACACGAACATATGAAGAGTGGGAAACCTGCAGACAGTGATCTCTATGTTAGCGTGCAATGAACAGTTGTACACATTAATATAAGTAAGTAGCACTACAGTTGTGCAGGGCTCAGACACAAAACTGCTTACAAATGCAGAAGGATCATATTCCTTTGTTATCTTTGTTATCCGTTATAAGCAAGCAGTGCTCTCAGGTGAAAATTATTTGCAGCTGAGACATGATTCATGTCACTAGTTTAGAAGTCAAAGGCTGTGCATCTTGCCCTCAGTCCTCTGAGCATCCCTATAGCCCAGAGCAATTCCTATTTCCTGAACCATTTAGTGGTTCCTTTGCAGAAGGACTGGATTGCTCAGTGGCAGGAGTGGCCGGGACACGTACACCTTCCTTTCTGGGTCACCAGGTATAACCAGGAATAGATACTGTAACTGAAACAATTGAAGTTGTTGCTTGGTATGTGTGTGTATATGCATGTGCACACACACACACACACACATATATATATTTAAATATATATTTATATAATGTCATTTTGGTTTTCTGGCATTAGAAATTAGAAAATCAGAATTGTGATCAGACACCATGTATAACTAACGCTAAATGTAAGCCACTATGTATGTCTGCATCCTATCCACTGTGACAGTGTGTCATAACAGAATTTCATTTAGCAATCGATACTATACTGTTGACATTAGGCCTTTCCCTCTGAAGACAGCAGGGGCAAATATTCCAAGGAATGAAAGAAAAGGCCAGGTTTTATAACAATTTGCAGAATGTTGGCAACCTAATTGGGCGTTCAGGCAATAAGAGACACATACTTACTGTGATTGCATGACCTCTTGTGCTTATTGTAAAAATATGATAACATGTGTTTTCCATCAAACCAGGCAACCTAAAACATTGCCATTACAGAAGAACCATTCATAGCAGAACATGCTGCAACTGTTTTGAGTAGGAGTCTACTGTTCTTCAGTGTCCTGGATGTTGAGTCCTTGATGCTGCCCTTCTGATGACATTAGAAACATCCTTTCACTCTTACTAGAGGGAACTGTGTTTGAGCTTGGGTATTTCTGTACCTCCGATGTAACTCTTTAGACTTCAGCAGGCTAAACAAATGAAAATTGGACTCCTGAGCTTATAAAACCATTTTACCATGTGTTTCGAAAGGTATTCAATAAAATGGCTGTAAAGCAGAAGGCCATCTTTATTTTCAAATGCAGACTGAAAGTCTGAGGTGATGCCCATATTTGATGAGGGGTAGCTTGCTTATGATGGGGGGAAGAGGGAAGTGCTATTAAAACCAGTGAGCTGCTGAGCCATACTGTTAGGACTGCAGTCTTCCAGCAATCATGTCACAGGTAGGTTGTAAACAAGAAAATTTACACCAGGTCCCTGCATGCCTCTGCTGTGCTGTATTGGCTTTTCTGGTGTCCAGTCCAGGGCTTCAGCAGAGTCTGAAAATTATCATTGCAGAGTAGCACCAGTCAGATGGGGTTTAGAATATTGTCAGGGTACGCAGGAGCTACAGTTAAAACTTTGTATTTGCTTTGTCTTGGGAGGGTGGTGTGTAATAGGAGCTTATTTTGTTTTGGTTCCTTTTTACTTTAAAGTTGTTTTGTGTTTTTTTTTATTTAATGCTTCACCTTTTCTAGAAAAGGTCACCTAATTTTTAAAGAAAATGACATTTAATTGGTATTTTTGTTTGGCATTTGAGATAGGATTAAAGTCTATTTTTTAAAGGATGCTTTAGAGGTTGGCAAGATTCTAAATCCTAAATAGATTCTTATTCCCAAATATTGGGGTTTTATTTGCTAGGGATCTGTGGACCTACATTCTTATTATCACTATTGATCTCGAATTTCTTTATGCAGAGGGGAGGAGTCTATACCACATCCACACATACATATTGGGAAGACTGGGGCAGAGAGTAGTTATGGTCTCCCTGTGTGAGCAGGAACAAGTCTCTTGATAGTTGCAGTGGTCTAAAATTAAACTTTTTAGAAACCATAATCAGCTCAAAACCCCGCTTAGAGTCTAAAAGCTGTGCCCTTGTTCAGCAGCTTCCTCCTAATGCTTTCAAAGTCTGTTGCAAACATTAATTAAATTAAACGACACAGCCCTCTGTGAAGTAGTAGGTATATATTTAACAGATGGGTAAAGAAGTTAAATGATTTGGCTGATGCCACACAGAGCCTTCTGCTAACTGAATATATGATTCCATCAGAAACATTTGGCTTTCGAAGCCACACACTTGGGACTCTGTCAAGGTTTTTCAAGCCTCCACCACACTGGGAGTGGGTACAGAGTGGGCGTTTGCAGTGCTTGATCTGTACAGCACAGGAACCAACGGAATTCCTTCTGGAAACAATCTGAAGCACATTTGGGGCTAGCAAACTCCTGGGTATCCCTGAACATGTTCTCATTTTCACCTGGAAATGTTAAACAGGCGGTAAGAGGAATTTGGTCGTGTCAGGAGATTGCTGCGGAGAGACTGCACATGCACGTTAAGCCCAAGGTCTCCAGAACACGATAGACATACCGCCTATGTGCTGGCCATCTGCGTAGTGGGTTTGCAGGCAGTTCAGTGCATCTTGGGTACACTGAAAGCATTACATGTACACACTATGCAGCACATGCATACGTCTCTGTCCAGAACTGCTTAGAAGGAAACAAGGGAGCTCTACATGTGTAGTAAACACTTTTTTGTTGGAGATGCACCCTAAACGGTTATTCTCCCATTCATTGGTGACAGCTAAGGTATGAGAATGCAGAACTATCCCTACTTCCTTCAGGCTGTTATAAAACTACTTGCCATACCATACTATACCTGATCTTTGAATTGTGGGAGGACAAGGGCTAGAATCACAGTCATTATTAGCTCAGATGAGGTCAGGGCTTATTTTCTGCTGTCCCTCATCTCATAGAATCATAGAATGCTTTGGGATGGAAGGGACATTTAAAGGTCGTCTGGCCCACCCCCCTGAAGGCCAGCTGAAACCAATGCGCTGCAGTTAAAAGGCTGGACTTTTTTGCAAGAAGTCAAGTTTTGAAGCTGATGTGGAGACATTGGCTTAAGCTAGCTCTATGTATGCCCCAGAGGCTTGTATTTCAAAGGGAGACAGAACAATGCAATATTTTGCATGAAACAAAGTAAAATGAAGCTGCTCTTCAGGCCCTTGACTGCTCCTAGGCTGCTCTGCTGCACACTTAGAAAGAGTCTACTACTTTGTGAAATTAGAAACACAAATCATATCTGAAAAATCTCAACTTTAACCCAAATCCTGCTGTTGTATTAGAGGAGTGGAGAGCATATAACCCACTCAGAATAAGCTGTGCTCACTTCGTCCAGATGTCTGGATTTCTAAAAGGCTTATGCTATAGCCACTCCCGTGGTCCATATGCACTGGGCACTGATTAATCTTTAGGGTATTTCACCAAATAAAAATGCAAGAGATCTGGATTAAGCTGATCTGCTAGTCTAAGGAGCCATTCCCCGTGCCTTACCAATTGGGTTAATTCCTGAAAAATAATACCTGCCTGGCAAAGTGAAAAGAGGGAGATGATGTTACCCCCTTCAGGAAGACATGCTGGGAAACACTGTGTAATTAATCTGTTTTCATCTTGACTGGCCCACTGATGGCCAGTTCTGTTATTCCACCTGCTGCAGAAACCCATATCTGATGTTTCAGAATTAATAAACAGATAAATAAAACAAAACCAGAGAACAAAGAGGAAATAAAGCCCCAGACTATTTTTTCCCACATCCATTTTCAGCACCCCGAGGCAAATTCCTTCCTGATCACTATCTCAGTAGAAAGTGAACCTGCAAATACCCTTATTTAAGTATTTTCTTCTTAAGGGTTATTTTTCCTGGTCGATAAGGCATGTTCAATGCCGGTCTGCCCCATGACCAAGCTATCTCAGAGAGGATCTTGGCTGTGGCTTCTTTCATGATTTATGGCAGCTCAGCTAGGTCAACAACAAATGCTTTGAAAATTCACGCCCTTTTCATGCTTGGTCTGCAGGTTCCTGACAAAAGTTCCTGTTTTAATTCCATTGAATCATGACATTTAATTTCCTGTATGTTTGCTGTTCTTTGTATCAAGCAACAGGCAAATCCTGATACTGCATGCTAACGGAAAGACCTTGCTTGCACTAGTTATCAGTTGTGGGCTACATGCTAGTTACATTATTTTTTAAGCTTGTGCACAAGACTACTTTTAGAGGTTTCAAAGAATGATTTATTGAGTAGGCTGCTAATTGAAAGCCAAGGTACAGTTCCTCACTTTTTGCAGAGTTATCTGTGACCTGTACCAATCTCCTTGTAACCATGGGGCTGTTGCACTGATGCGCTGTTCTGCGTCGCAGTGGCAATGGCAAAGTTGGTGACGTACTAAGGCAGTATGCTAATTGTAAAGCAGCTTTGGATTAATGGATAGTTTTACCTCCTGACTTGCAAACCAGCCCAGATTTTTTAAACTAGAAAGGATCTGGAGCTTTTCAGGGAATTATTCTGGTGCTATCCCTGTCACTACTGTGTCTCTCGTTCCTCTCTGAAAAGCAAACGGGTGCATTTGAATGAATGCTGGCACAAGCAGTGCCACCCAGCGTCAAGAGCAGAAATGCCTTGCTTATGTCCCAGCTTGCGCTGAGTAAATGGGCAGCCGTCACATCCCCAAAGCTGTTGTCTTCTCGCGGCTGAGGTTATACCACTCCACACCAGGACTGCTGTGGTTTAAGCAGCTGTGTTGCCCACCTTGCTTGGTACCCATCCGTGGCAGCCTCCTTAGACATCAAACAGCTGAAACCGCCTGGCCTGGATTTTTGTTGTGCCCCTAAAATGTGCCTGAACTTAAACACTGGCAGAGCAAGCACCAGGCTTGTACCAGAAATTAGGTCTTTTGTAAACGCACATGTACAACCTGAAAGTACAAGGGCAGTCCACAATGATCTTCAGCCATTTTAAATAAAATGATCTTATGATGACTTGGGGAGGTTTTAGCAGTGTATGGAATGGGCTTCTTGGTGCAGAGACTGAAGTTTAGGTGTGAAGAGACTCAAATGCCAAGGGGTGAGATAAATTAATTATGAGGAAGAAGGCTGTGTAACTACAAACAAAAAAAAAAAGAGAGAAAATTCTTCCTAAAAATTATTTTTGTTGACGTTGGAAAGTGTTTTGCATGGAAAAAGGTGTTGCGTTCATATCTGTGGACTCTTTATCAAATGATAAACTGTCTTTGTTTGCTCTCTCTGCCCTTGGTGTACATCTGCAGGTAAATACTAATCTATATAATCACTGTACCACCTAATTTCATAACAAACCTTTGCATTTTCAGCCTTTCAGACAAGGCATCCAACTGGCTGTCTACATATGCACTTTTATTACTAGCGCACCATCATGAGAACTGGGGAAGCAAGTCTGTATGTGGTTCTGGCCCTTCACATTTTAAATTTGGGCTGTTAATCTTATTCACTAAAACATTCAAGAATGTATTAACCCTACCTCATTATATTCACCAATTAGTCCTATCAGCTTTTCCATCCAGCTTTTACATCTTTGTAGTACTCACATATTATTCAAAAATTTATTTAATAATTTTTTTACTATCAGAGATTATTTTTCTAAATTTCTAGCAGGCATGCCCTACTCAGTCATAATACATGACCAATCATGCCTGATACATAAGCCACTGTATGAAGTAGAATTTATATGTACACATAATATTTTCTTAAATTAAATTATATAGTTAAGGGGAAAAAGTTTTCTGTTCAGTCTGACTTCTTTTTATTTCATGTTGTGTAGCCAATGGTTCAAATGGCAGATTTCAATACCTTCTATGCTGAGCAGCAGTATTGTTGCAGCTACAATAAAGCCAAAGTATCTTTGAAAGAGGTCTGTTTTTCTCACCATCTCCGTTGGTCTAATCTTGCCCTATAAAACTGGCTGCATTTAAACCATTATTAAGCCATCACTAATACAACAACACTGTTGTTCAACTCTGTAGTAAGCAGAAATTTTTCAGAACTATAACACTTATTGTGGAAAGCCAAGAGCTGCTTCTAGATATCACGGAAATTTGTACAATATCCAATGCCCTTCTATCATCATAATTTCTGTCTTCACAGAGAGTGAATCATTATTTGTTAAATAGATAGAGTATTCATCTTCAACAGTAAAAAAAATCAGATTTGTTTTTACCAGTAGGCGATAACATATTTTTTTGCCTGGCTGTCTCTACCTCTTAGAATTTATACCAAAGGAGACCACTTTTATAATCAGGAGCAACACACAGAAAAAAAAAATAAACTTAAAAGGTGATATTTATTTTTTAAGTTATCCTTAAATGCACAGCAATTATGCAAGGGATTCTGTTTTCTTTTGCCTTATCTCAGTAGTCTATTCTGTTACTAGGTGTTTTAAGACACAGGAGCAGAACTCATGTGTCCTGTCTGCTGGCTCATACTTTCTAACAGGCACCTTTTAAAATTCATCCTTGATCTGTTATAACAATTATTTTTTGATTAATTTTTCTCTGCCTGCCTTCTTTTAATGCATTGATGAAGAGATTGAAGGATTCATTTCAGACTGAATCTTTGTCTTGCTAACGTGGAAAACATTAAAAGCTTGAATGAAAATTAAATTTTCTAATGAGAGCTGATTATTTTGCCAAAGCCCACTTAAATAATTGCTCAGGATTATACAATTCATTCCCCATATGTCTCAAGAAAGGGTAAAATGGACCAAATGAAGAGAAACTTTCTTCTTTAAGATATTTTCTCTGGATGTTTTTCCTTCCTAGATTCATTGGTCTCTTCCACTTTTCACTGTACCATCACTGCACTGGAATAATAGCCCTGAAATGGGATGCTTCAAAAAACATCCACAGCATTGGCACTGGGTGTACAGAAAGCTTTGCCTACTGACGGTGAGATGTGTCTGCAAGTGCTGCCATTCATATGTAGTAGTACACAGGGTACATAAGTAACTGAAAGGGTAAAGCATGCTGATACATGGACTTATCAGCATAACTCTAAACATCATCTTAGTATGCAGTACCTACCAAGACAAACATGATCACAATCACTATGACTCAAGTTTAACTTTAGTGTTTCACCAGGATTCCTTGAAAAAGTTGATGTGACAATAGAGGAATTTATACCGCTCAATATTTTCTGTTGCATGCTGCCTTGTTTGGAGTATTCCATTAGGCTACGATAGTATATCTTTATAATATAATAAGTGACTTTCCTTACCAGAAATAACGGAGTCATTCAAAACTTCCTCATCCTGATAAAAAACAGAGTCTTCCTTGAGCTCCGAGTTCATGATCATGTTTTCTTTGTTCTCATCCGACTCTTTAACTGAGTTCCGCTTATTTTCTGAATCACTGCTGTAACTCAGTGAGTTCTCCTTTTCTTTGTTGCGCTCAATGCTGGATGTTCTGGATGGACGGACATCCACTCTTTTTTTTGGAGAGCCTTTGCTTTCTCTTCCATGGAAGCTGTGGGTGGAAGGTGCACAGCTCAGTTTTTACAAAAGACTGTTTTATTGCCACAGTAGGAACTTATCATTATATGAGAATGAGCAGAATGTCTTGTAGCTTGTAAAGGCCAGGGCAGAGAGTTCAACATGGGACAACATGGGATGGCATTCTCAGGACTGTGTTGAGAATGGCTAATGCAGATCTACTTTCCTATCTCTGTCATAAAAATAAGATACAGAAGGGTAGTGACTAATGTATTTCTTATATATATAGACACATGCTATACTGTACTGATTAAAATAAAACACACAGCATGTCCTTCTAATGTAAAACATACATGGCAGGAAATATTACCATTCTGATATTTTATGATCATGACAAAGGTTTAACAGGGCCTGGAAATAATATTGTATGAATCTATTCCCCATGACAATAGCTGTTACGGAATTGAGAAATGTTACTAACTTAACTCCAAAGCTCTTTGATGGAAAAGGTTATCTCTCTCCTCCTCTAATACACAGGAGGGCTTATAATGAAAACCAGACAAAGTACCCAATGTACTCCCACACAAGCATTTGTATTGAAAATGGTTACCGTATATGCTCATGTATAAGCCAAGAGACGTATACGGAAATAGTAGCATTTCTTGTATGTAGCAGTAATGTCGCAGTAGCCTCCTTGTAAAGGAAGAATATACTTTGAAGTAACTGCCAAATTAAGTACTTTAACCAGGGATGGATGTTCAGTAGTGACATCAAGAGGAAGGCAAACCCAAGCTGTAGGAGTAAATAAAATGCTAATAACAGGGTAGGAACATTTACCAAGAAAAATGATTTAGTGGAATGACTCTCCTCATGCACCCATATAGCCAAGAGGCTGTAGGTACCTGTCCTGCCGGTGTTTGGTGGCCAGAGCCCTGTGGAGTTCTTCAATGACTCTGCTAGGAGGTAAAGGCAGGTGGACGGCAGCCAGGTGAGGGGAACCGGTTGGCGTTGTTACCTGTCCTCTGACATGGGGTTCTGAACTTTTCTGGCCAGAGGGATGGAAGAGGGCAGCTTGTCCTGAGATTTGGGAGGAACCAACAATGACATAATTCTTCAGGATGGTGGAAGGAGGAGATTTCATGGCTGGGTCATCTATTTCACTTCCTGCTGTCAAAACACAAGAGGGTAAGAGGTTGTGCAATGCTTTTTTTTTTTTTTTTTTTTTTTTTTTTTTTTTTTTTCCCCAAAGGGTTTGCCTTAAAAGACAAAGTCCTTCCAGCTACTGGAGATCATGGAAGAGAACATGTTTTAAACTCTGTGTTGAGTATTCCTGCAATTATTTGCTTCCTGCTGTCAAAACAAAAGAGGGTAAGGGAGGTTGTGCAATGCTTTTTTTTTTTTTTTTTTTCGTTCTTTCTTCTTTCTCACACAGAGTCTGCACTGAAATTACTTTGTTGTGTTGAACAGAGGAAAATGGTGATGTCTTGTTCTTGCTAGGAGGTAACTGGTTAAGCTCAGTAACTATCTGAATTCAAAAGGCTCGTACTACACAGATCCAGATCTTTGATCTATCAAAATAGATGCCTCCCCAATTTCCCCTCTTTCCCACAGGATCAGATTCTCCTTTTCCCCAGCCCACCAATGCATTCTTGATTGTTCCTCCTAACCACCAGTGGCTTGTACTGTGCAGGCTTTCCAATCTAGCACTTTCTCTGCTGGACTCTGGCAGACTGTGTTAAAATTTATGCACTGTGGTTCTCAGTCAGAACAAAATGTACCAATGTCTATTATCTGCTCCTCTGTGATTGCTGCACAGCTTAGACCTCTGTCTTTCATATGCCAGTTGAGGAAATGCCAAAATCATTATAATATAAGGATAATGTTCGCATAACAAAACTTGCCAAATGAAATCCAAATGAGAGATGTGGTATTGAGCACTAAGAAGAAAAAAGAAGGGTGGGGCAATCTGATCTTTTTTTTTTACCCCCAGATTCAGATATTTTTAATGCAATGTAAGCACTTTGTTGGAAATTAGACTTTGATATTACATTTCTCTAGCACCCGAGTCTGTAACGCAGTAGATGTGTCTCTGGTTGTAAATTTGGTAGTTTCACACTCTTAAGATAACTGAACATTGGCCTGAAAAAGGTGCTGATTAGTTTTTCTGTTCTGCAGTTCTCTTCCGCTTTCCCTTATATCTTAATCCCAAGGCTCTGGCATATGGCGTTGTGTACACCAATAGCTCAGTCTGGGTGTAAAAAGGCAATGCAAGTTCTTCATACAAAAGAGTATTTCTTTTCTCTTGTTGCCACCTAGTGTTTTAAAGAGGAATTTAAACCGACACAGCTTGTACAGCTTTTGTACAAACTTGTTTTCACAAATCATTTTTACTTTTTTCACTTGCTTTTGAGATAAATCCTGCAGTTCATAGCAGAGAAAAACTTCTGCTCAGACCAGGATTATCCTGAAATACCCATGTAAAATGACTTGGTTCCTATTAGTAGGGTAACTTGCTAGAAAATTGGAGAGGACAAAAGTAGGTTTGAATATTAACTTCAGTTATTAAATATTTTCTCTCAGACCCAGCATCCTCCATAATGGTTACCAGCTACATGCCTTTTCTTAAGTTCACTGCTGGAAATCTGGTACAGCTCCGTAAGGGTAATGCTGTGAACAGAGCTGGGCATCCGGAGATTGGAGAGCGGAATTACTGAGGACAACAGCAAAAGCACAAGTAGGAAGAAGAGCTCTTGTAGCCATAAGCAAAATCAAACATTGAAAATTTGAGAGCGACAACACTATGCCAGGTCTGTTTTTCACATTTGTGGTATGAGGAGGAGAGCATCCTTCAATGAGGAGAGCTGCATCCACAATAAAATCTTCTCTCTCATTCTACGAAAGGTCTAACATTATTTTTTTCATTTTTGGAAGGCATTTTTGCACATTCCTCTCCCTTCAACCCAGAACCCTAACCAATGACCAGAGCTTCATTCATCTCTCTATGCATCCAGAAGATGGGGTCAAGCTAGTTCAAAAGTTACCCTATTTAAAATCTGAAATGTCTGAAAGCACAAGGGCATTTCTTCAAGTGTCTAGATGCTCAATGTGCAATGTCTTGGCAATGAGACACCTTCCCACCCTGGAGCTCCTCCTGTACTGATCAGGATAGTTGCTGCGGCCAGGAGACAGCAAGCCTCTGCTAAGCAAGGATGTTTTTTCAGCACTCAAGGGGATTTTGATTACGTGCTACTGTGGAGATGGACAGAGGACATATATGATCAGTCGCTGACCATTGAATCATGGCCTGAGGGGATGAAAAAACCACCTCTTAAGTCACTTCATACTGCTGCATAGTGAGAGAGAGTGTCCGTGTTTTCTCAGAGCAAGAACCCCAGGTTCAGCTCAACCCTAAAGCAGGAAGGAGGAGACTTTATACCTGCTTGTTCCTGGAACAGGTCAAGGGACAATTTTGTCCTCATTGCAGCTTGGGCCAATATTGAGAGTTGAGATTTTCCTTAGATCACACCTTATTTGTCCTAATGACAGCTGTTCAGTGAATAATCTTGCAAAGTGATATCTTGGCACCTTGCCCTGTTCCCCCTCTCTCTGTGATTAATTGGTGCTTGGCTTATTCCTCACTCCTCTGCTAACAGCATCTCTCACATTGTTAAGGGTGGAAAAAACTAAATACAAAAGAGCTTTTCAACATCTTCATCTTCCTTGTCTTTCATAATCACTCTTTCTCTCTCCCCATACATTTGTATTCCCTTTCACTCATTGGCAGTATGTGTTTAGTCTTAACTTATCACTGCCTCCACATCCACACAAAAATAAACAAATGTACAATCACTATTGAAAAAGGGTCTATAGTTACTGGAGTCACTGCAAAAACTAAGAGTTGTTCTTTGTGGAAAATTTAGGTGAGAATGAAATACCAAAACTCTGTATATCTTAGATGTTACAGGAAATACTTCGGTTAAGCAGCAAAATATCTGGACTCAAAATGCTGTGAAGTGCCTGGTGGAGCTGTAATCTCGTTACCTGCTATGGGTCAGGTTTTCCAGATAGCCTACATCTCATGCAGAGCATGGCCTTCTTATCAGTTAAGCGAAGTCAAAAGGGTGTCCGGGTTGTGCCAGTTCATGTTGCAAGGTGGAAGGGGCAGGCTAGAGCCTGACCGATAGCACAGAATGTTTAACACATCTGAACAGCAGCTCCCAAGGAGCATTATGATACCATTTTGAATCCAGCTCCCACTTAAATTCTTACAGCTTTTAAGCATGGACAAAATGTGGATATTTTCCATGGGAAACAAATACTTGTCATTTTCTGCAAAAAGACTGAAAACCTCAATATTTTCTATGAACCCCATTGGTCAGATCTCAATGCCCCTCTGATATTTTGTTTCCTGGTGACTTTGCAAACCCTGTTGGTTGTGCCAGTAGATAAGTGTGGATGCAAATCAGGGCTGAGGTAATGGCTGTCATTTAAAAGTCTAAATATCCAACAGGTCTGACATTTAGATGTCAGGACTTGATTCTAATTTGCAATAAGGCCCTTTTAACTGCTTTTACCATATGTAGGGGCCCTAAAATTGGAACAAACTAAAATCATATTCATTTTAACACCCTTTCTGCAGTGCCAGCATGTTGGAAAATGTAACAACATTGGCAATACATTAGAAAATCAGGCCCGGAGGAATTGCTCTTGAAACAGTCACTGAAGTCTGGCACGGAGGATTGCTTTGTGGGAGCCAGGTGTATCACTTATGTGTGTTCTTTGTAACTAGACCAGATTTCATAGCTCTAGTTTAGACTAACCCTAGAGAGCAAACCCTTCAGACAGAAACCTCTGCAGAACCTATTGACTTGAACTTGGTTTTGGCTGTTACACTGTTATCCAGCAGGAGTCTAGGTAATGAAAACATTTAAATCTTCCTTGTGTTTTATGGCATATCAATATGAGCATCTGATTCAGCAGATGTTTGCAGTTGGTTTGATTTGTTTTGCATGTGTTTAGTGTGATAAACTTGCAACAAATAATCCCCTGAGAGATTCAGATAAATATGTGAAGTACAAAGATCAGTGCGTTGTTATCAGGCAACCAGACCACTCAGTTCATGGAAATCATTAGCATTCTGTTCACTCAATATAACTAGCCTGATTAACAGCAATTTGCAGCAATAGGCTTAAAAAAGGATGTAAGAAAAAAATTGTGCTGTGTAGGTGAACAACACATAAGGGATGGGAAAGTCTTTAGTGACCAGTAATGACTGACCTGTTATGCTCTTTGTGATTTTGGAGATTGCCTTAGGTGGTGGAGCTGGGAGCAACGGAGGGCTGGGAAGCTGTGCTGGGTTTCTTTCTGTCTGTTTCTGGGGGGAATCTGTGGATTCAGATACAAGTAAGGCTTGTGGACTGTCTTCAGATGCTGGCAGGCTGGCATCTTCTAATTCTTCCGTGGGTACTGAAGGTTTCTTGGCTAGTAGGAAGATGAGTAAAATTAATGGAACATGAAGTTAATAATAATGATAGGCCAGGGGACAATGCCAGGAACATTCAGAAAAACAGAACACATGGCACACAGCTAGAAGCACTTCTTTTCCACAGTGAAAATAATTATTGTGTGAAATAGCCAAACAGCCAAGGCAGGTGAAGAATAAAATGTATGAGGATATTGAAGAAATGTTAGTTTTGATGTTCCTGAGAAAACTGCTGACCTTCCCTTACTTCCCTAAGGCCTTTTTCCCTTTCCTTTTTTTTTTAATAATGAGGACAGCAAGACAAAGCAACTTTTGAGAACTGCAATGAATTTTTTTACAGTATGCAGCTGCAGTGGCACAGTTACTGATTGAGTACTCTTCTGTGCTAGGAACGCAGAGCCAAAGGGCAGAGAGTATCAAACTGGTAATATTACATGAAAGCTGACTTTCCAATTGTTTGTTGTACGCATTTATTTTCACAATTTGATTTTTATCTTATTTAATACATGACTTTAACTTGCATCCCAAGTCCTCTCTTACTGTACCTGACTCTGGAACTGTTGAGTCTTTCCTGAGGTTAAAGCGGATAACCAAGAAAAGCCTGCCATAAAAAAGATTTGCCATTGGATCTCAGCAGCTAGTGTGGAACAGAGAATCGGTGAAGTACCTAAGAAAACTTCAGTCCCCAGAGCCTTAATTTGAGGTGTTGAAGCAGTGCTCATTTCAGGATTGTCTCCTGAAAGATGGCAAAAGCACTTAGCTCTTAAAGTTAGTGCAGGCTCAATCAGTGAGCAGTTCATCAAATTGACCTGGCTGTGACGAGGGCACAGGGGATTAGATCCAGAAAGGCATGAAGCTCAAGCAGGACACATGAGAGGGTCCAGACTGCTTGGGCTGGATAAATGGCAAATCCCACTCCTTTTAGCATTCTGGATTGTCTAAACAAATTGCCTTTCCCTCCAAACCGTTTTAGGGCATCTCCTAAAAACTCACAGCAGTGGGCACCCACAGCTGCCATGTCACAAATCTTTTCTTGGCTCAGTTTTATGTCTTGTTTAGAATACAAACTCTCTGTATTAATGAGCATTCAGCATCCTTGTGTTCAGAGTGCATGGGGAGGCACCACAGCACTTAGGCAGTTGGAAACAATAGCATTGGCAAGATAATAGCATTTAATTTGTTGACAAACAGATTAATGAGTATTCCTAGAAGAGGAGGAATGGGTGTTTATCATTCAAAAAAGACAGGAAAGTAGAAAAAATATGCATCATTAACAGGAATTCTTGTGAAATTTGGCTTGAAAGCTGTGGTATGTGATAGTTGCCTGAATTATAGAAGGAAATAATTTTCTTTTAAATATGCTTCTAGGGAAATGCTTTGTTCCGGGCAGACATCACTTTGTAGTTTTGTGCCTACTGCATAGAAAACAAAATGTGGAATAGAGGAAGAGAAAAATTAAGTCACTAATGGGTTACATTACAGAAAGATCAAGAGCTCCAGTAGATTGTTAGTACCTTGACAGGAAAATTAGTCAGATTTGTGTGCATTCCCCTGAGTGGAGTGATACTTTCTTCTGGCAGTAACTTCACCGAAATCAGTACACCTCCCTGTGACATTAAGTGCTGTTTGGCACAGATGCAGAGGAGCAGCCATAGTGGGACCTTTCCTATAGAGAAGGTGGATCCGAAACACACTCAGCCTCAGTCAAACAGATCTTTTTGTTTCTGAATTCCATCCTGTTCTGAGAGTGGTATCCTGAAAACAAGCTGGCATTGTGCACTGTTGTCTAAAGAATGTCCATTTTACATTCCCTGCAAAGAACGGTTTGCTTCTGTTTTTTTTCTGTGGTTGTTTCTGGTAACAACAGTACACGTTTGACTCAGTCTGAAGGCAGACCTGAGTCTTGAGTACACAAACCTATTAACAGATTTCATACTGCAGAGTGAATATTATCCTGCTGAAAATACCTGCTGAAAATGCTCCAAGTGCTCAGCACTAGACTCTTTGCCAGAGTACCTAATTATTCATTGAGTGCCACTTGTCAAAATGCCATCTCACTACTAGGTAGAAATCCTCCCCTTGGGACTGCCCCCAAGCCCATTGGCTAGGTTAGGTGGAAAGAACTGCCCTCTTTCTGCCTAGGCTGTTCTTTTTCTGTGTATTAACCAAACACGAAGTCTACAAATATTTCGTTTTGTTCCCTCCTCTTCCCCTCCCTGGCCTTCACCTCACATCCTCAGGATGAAATACAACATATTGGGTATAAAGCAAATATATGCAGTTTGTTTCTAGGTGGTCAAATATTCATATGAATTTGTGTGACACCTACTGCACTGGGCCTGGCTTGCGCCCAAGGACAAACATTATAATAAACTCAACATTATAATAAACTTAGCAATACACTCTGACAATTTTGAAGAGCTTTCCCACCCAATGAATTCCTTAAGGTGGACTCACTAGAGACAGGAATGCTACAATGCACAGACAGGGATAAATTAGCACATAAAAATTAGATAGACAATAATTATTTTAAAAGCCAGAGGCCACCAGTGAAAGAGGTAGGAAGATTTCCAACAAATATGAGTGGAGTCTTGCAGACCAGGGAGACAGGAGAAGGTAATCCCACTGTTATTTTTTGGAACCTGGAAAAATGACACGTCAAAAAATGGAGGAAAAGAAATACAGAAGAGAGGAAAGGTTGTGCCAGCGAGACAAAAAAAGGAACTAGGATTAGAGAAAGAGACGTAAGAAATCAGGATGCTTTTGAAAGCCTCAATACACAATTTTGAATGCAGTGAAAGGCAAATTTTAAATCATAGTACTAGGTTTTGCAGAACCATAAGGTTAAATACATGATACGTTATTAGCACCATTTTTCCAGGATAGCCTGTCCCAATGATAAGAATTAGAAGTTCAGAGAGAAATTTCCTTCGTGATATGGAATGAAAAGCTCTAGAAAAGAGTACTATTGCTAATAATAGTAGTGCCTGAAGGATTCTGGTCAAGATCTTGATCTGGCTCTTGTAAGAAGAGGGAGATGAATGGGTTTTGCCTCAATTAATTTCTAGGGTGATACAAAACTAAACACGGCCATAAAGGATAGAGTTTGAAGACAAAGGAAAACAGCATTAAGGGCATACATTAATAGAAGCTGTCTATGTCCAATTCTCTATTTTGTCTCTATTTTAAGAGACAAAAAAGAGAGAGGATACATCTTTAGAAGCCCACATACAGTGCTTTGGGATATTTCTTGATGAAATAACACATGTAGTTGAAATGAGGAAGGTGATGGGTGATGGAAGGGTGTTGTTAAGCTTACCAAAAAATCCTTGTGATGAGCAAACATGAGGAGAGATACTTTTTGGGATACTGAAGAGTTTCTGTTGTCAAAGTAATTAAGAGTGGAGTGGAGCTAGAAATGGGCCAGAAGAGCAATATTATATAAAAGCAAAACAGCAAAAAGGAACAAAATTGCATGAGTCATGGGGATGGAAAGGACAGGAGGAAAAGGAAGTGGGAAAGGATAAAGCAAAGAAATGGAAAACTTCAGAGAATGGAAATCATTCTGAGCTGCTGAAGCAGGGTGAGGGCATAAGCAGGCAGCATTGTTCAGCAAACCCCAGCAGGTAGGGGTGGGCTTGGTGAAAGTGGCTGGGGGCTGGGATCCCAGGGAAAGCAGGGCATGAGGGGGTGGGATGGAGAACAAAAGGCAACGAGGACAGATGGAGAAGGTGTAAAGATTGACCAGAGGGAATGGGCAGGAAGATCAGTAATCACTACACAGCACTCCTCACAAACTAGGATAAAGCATTATCTCTGTGGCTTTGCATTTCTTGGTTGTCAGGAAGTGAATGGAAACCCTCCAGCTGCTGGGTTGTGCCTGGCTCCTCTGGTCCCAAGGAACTGCTGTCACGGATGAGCGGTGCCGGAGCACAGTTGCATGAAAGGAGCTTGGTTTAGCTTATCTGTGCTCCCAGTATTGAACTTCACTTGTATTTGCAGCATGTTGTAGACAGGGTGATGATATGGGCGGTGTGGGCTGTGTATTGACATTGTTCTCCCGAGCCAGGACAAGCAATTTCAGGGTTGGCACAGAAGTTTAAGAAATGTTTTTAAGAGAAGCTTGTTTCATCTTCACAGCAGTCACTGCTAATACCAAAGGGGCACCATGCCAGGACTGGATCGTCTCATAATCCAACTAATCCCATTATGCCAAGCTTTGCGTGGTCCCAGCAGTCTCAAAAATCACTGTTTTTACGTACTGATTGCTAACCGAGTATGAGCTGAGCTGAACAAGGTGCTCTGACCCTTTAATGCACTGACATATTTGACTTCTCATAAAGCAGGTCAGCAGAAATATTTTTTTAATGTTTTATATGTTTTTGAAAACATTTTATATCCAATACCTGCATCTTCTTTCAGCTCATCCAAATGCAGTTCCTCACCAAGCGAGGTCACATTCGGTGTGGCTGCTATTGTACTCTCTTGCTGCACCTCTTCTGAGGCAAGTGCCTGGCACACAGGAGCTGGAGGGTCACTCTGCGTTGCTCTCGCGGCATCATCACCAGTGCAGGCTTTGCCTTCAGTATCTAAAACACCAAATAATTTAATCTTAACTAAACCATAAGCAGTGAAAGCTGAAACTCCCTGCTATCCTCTTGAGAAGAGTGCTGCTAGCGCTCAGGGGACTGAGATTTGTTTTAGAACAGCACCTGATTTCTAACAGTGCTGAGCATCTGTAACGCAAAGCTTGTGGACACCAGCCCATCTGGACACCACTAATATCCACCCAGTTTTCTCAGCAGGGCACCTTTTTCTGTGGCCATCTAACAGCCTGGGCAAATGGCCGTTGTGCATGTACAGGAAGGCCACTGTACTCTGTAAGCACCTGCTGTGTGGGAGGTGAGTACAGGCATAGGAAATCAGAGGTCTCTGGGAGAAGGCACTTCTTGCATGAGCAGAGCTTGTGCTGCAGCACCTGCACAGGTTGGTCTGACGTGTCGGAGTTGTGTCAGGCTCTGTGCACCACACGCTGCCATCCAGCTGCCCCAGCAATAATGCTGGAGCCTTACTGAAGGCAAGGCTGCTAATATTCCCTACCAAACTGTAGGTTTTGAGCATAGTTTTAGTTACTCAGCTCTGAAAAGCGTGTCCTGTGTGATTGAGCTGATCAGAAATTCAAATCCCTCTTCATGCAGACCTAGAAACTGCTCCCTTTGCTTACTGTGAAAGATTTTTGTGCCAGTGATCCCTGCAGCTGTATGCATCTTGATGACTGAAGCTTTTCTAGTATTCTCCTATTCAGGCAAGAGTCCTCAGAATACAAACTATCCTTTTACTTCATGACTCTCTCAGAATTTACAAGATCTACATCACTGTTGCAAACCAAAGCAATTACTTCCCGCTCTAGCCAGAGCTCCATGCTGATGGACACGTCTGCTGTCCACCCCTGACCTCCTAACTTGTATTTCTCAGCCCTAGACACTCCTTTCTGGAAGCTCCTGACAGGGCTATGTTTTCTTGCAATGATATCATGACAAGTTTCTTGAACGTTCATTTAAAATAGCGAACATTCACAGCTACTCCTTTTTAATACTATTTGGACAATCTGCACGGTAATTTATTGCCCTTTTGGGTAAGGTTATCAGATTTTGGCTCAGAGATGCTGCGGAAGCGATGCAGTGTTTTTGCATGCTGAGCTCACTCAGTCTGCCTCATAATCACGTTTGGTGAAAAGTTACTGTTCTTAAAATAGCCCCTGCAGTAGCACAGTTGCTATGATACAAGGAAGGGGAGGGGGGAAAAAGTTCATTGCCTACATTTCAGCTCATTGTGAAGGCAGCCTATACATAATCATTGGTGTATTAACAGCTGCATTATTTGATAGGGAGCCCTTATCTCTCACTGCTTTAAGTACAGCTACATCTGATGAGTTTTGTGCTCACAATGGGGAGAAATATCGGGGGAAGCTCCCTGAATGTTTTCAAGGTAACTCTGCTTTGCTCCTTCCTCACATCCTTTGGAAAGGCAAGCTGCTGACAGCTGTGCCACAATGAAACTGCAGTCACAGACATGAGTTCCTTCAGATCCCAGCCGATGGGAAGTGTAGTGACTAATGAAGTAATGACAAGCAGAAGACAGCCCTGTTGAAGAATTTCTGTTGAGGAGCATCTGAGACTCACAACAGTGATGTTCCTGGTCAGAAATGATCAGCTCATACTTCGATCAAAGTGGATATGCTGCTTTGATTGGCAGTGGGTCCCAACATGATATTTTAGAGACAGTCTGGGGACAGGAGAAATCGCAGACCTTAGATCCACTGGTAAGGAAAGCAGCAGAGAGTCTTGAGTTTTGCAAAGTAATCGGAAGAAGTAGGGCTGTAATTTAGTTGGGAAGGAATCCCGCTGTATGCCAGACAAGTTGGTTCCCTACAGCAAAGCTGTATTTGCCCTGTGTGAGCAGAGCTAGAGAGGAGAAGACAGAAGGGGCCCAGGCTGTGCAACTTCGTCTGCGCAGTGTCTCTGGGCAGCTGGGCTTTGGGGTTGTGTGAGGAGAAAGGGTGACATAACCTGTTAGGATGACTCATCACCAAAGCAAGGACGGTGCAATTTCACCCTGGGCTGCTCACAGATTGATGCAGATTCCGCGCCAGCTTTGCTCTGAGCCAAACAGTCCAGTTCAAAATGCTGCTTGACAGACCTTGTGCTACAAAACTGGAGTGTGACACAGCTATTGTAAATGCATGAAGCAGATCTGGAGATTTCTCAGCTTCATCCCTATTTGGGCTGTTTATGAAAGTAAGCAGGAATCAGGTCTCTGGAAGTGGAGTAGAGCCTGATGAAATAGAGGGATTTTAGGATTTACTGTAGTCTTTTAGCATAATATTGCTGCTTTGACAATTGCACCTTACTGCATAAACGAGGACTTAGCCTTGAAACTGCTGCCATTTCAGCTCAGTCCAAGTAGGGCACTAATAATTCACTGAGAATTATTTGGGTCAATTTTTGATTCCAGTTAATAAGCTGCTTCTACTAATAATATAATAAAATAACCCTGGAGATTCACAACACTGTAAAGAAAAATAACTTGCAGGTGGCTGCAATGTCCTTCAACTGACTGTTAGCCATTCTTTCCTTTCTGGGCAGCAGGGTGGTACTGAAAATTTGTTTGATGTTTATAGGAGCGCTATTCAACTTTATTGCAGACAGGTAAGCAGTCTGTTTGCAGCTGCCTTTTTGAAAGCACAGCTTGTCATCACTTCTCACTGCACTATATGTATTTATTTAAACTATTTTAATTTTGTTAAAGTGACCTTGCAACTTAGCATCATCTGTTTTCCTCCCAGCCAGTTCTTTATGCATGCAAGAGGTTTATTGATTCATTATTATTATTATTACCTTTTAATGTGCTCTACAGACATTTTATTTTACTATGCTTTGACAAAGCTCTAGAATAGCCATGTCTTCAAATTCATGGATTATGGGGAGCTTCCATAATCCTAGCAGAAATGGGGTGTATTTTTCTATCCCATAGGGCTAATATGCTAATAGGGCAACTAATTATTTAGAATTATGAGAGACATACAGAGTACAATGGACAGAATTAAAAATGAGCTTTCTAAAACCTTCCATTTTAGAATAAACTAATGGTTTGATAGATTTTTTTTTAATTTGAACATGAAATTCATATTAAAATATATCCCATAAAATAATATGAAAATTGCTTTACTGCAATGAAAAAAAAAAATCTGTTTAAAATGCTCTTTTTCTGACTCTTCAGTTGCTCGGTTACACTCCAGAATAGCATCACTGAGTATTGTCCCACAGGCTATTTATAGGCATGGCATTTGTTTTATACAAAGAAACTCAATTATTAGTTTCAAAGAACATAATTTCTGTCTATCAGATTGGTCAAACTCAAAAGGCCAATCTTTCTTCATGACAGTACTTTCTGATATAAAGTTTTCAAAGTAAAGATGGATTTATTTTTTTATCTCTGTTTAGGTGGAAATGGCAATTGGGATGTTGTCCATAACCTTGGGAGCTCGCTTGATCTCGCAGAATAGTCACCCAGATCTCTGTCTCCCTTGAGGACCTGTCAGGGCTTTGGAGCAGGGATATACAGAACCACAGTCCTTTGTGCATGTTTCTGACATTTTATCATCTTTCATGCAATGACTTCTGCGGAACCTGGTTTGTACTCAGGAAAGCTTTAAAATGACACTACCAAATGCTTCACTTTTCCATGTGAATGAAAACCAGGCAGAACGGTAATACGTTTTGTCACAAACTTGGTTTACCAGAAAGACAGCTGAAAACATCAGATTAGTATCGTTTTATGAGATTTGAATTCATGGATTGTGCATGTTAGCTGAATGCATCTGTATGTTTAAGTTTATATTTATACCAGCTTTAGCTGACTTTCTTGGCAGTAGGATTTAGCTAGGTTTAGAGCAATTGCATAAAACATACGTACCAGCTCAGATCTGCACCATGTATAAATCAAGCGAAGATGGAGTTGCATTCAAGATGGTAAAACATCAAAAATTAAACTGCATGGATTGATTGCAGCAGGGAGAAATTTGAAAAAAGATGTGCTTAATTCAGATATTGAATTTTCTTCTCTGTTTGGATTGAAGGTTTTCCTTTTTATTCATTTGTTTGTTAGGTTTCTTCTGTTGCAATTATGTGTTTCCTGTTGTCCTGGAAAAGACTTTGATAAAAAAGATGAAGAATTTTTACTTACCTTGTTCCATCATCTCCAGAAGGCCTTTCTTAATGAGTTCATCCCGACCTTGTCGTGCTGTCATCTTCTTCTCCAGCACTGCATGAAGTAGTAGCATAACACAGCACCAGTTAACAACAGAGTATTCATATAATGGAGTGAGAAAGATGCAATGTGGAAATTCCCTCTAGTCTCAACTACTATGTGCTTGGAAAGAACCACAAGGATTTTGTTTTGGGGAGCATGGACTGGTCAGCCTGCTTGTGCCTTTTCCTTTGTTAAAATATCTGTAAAATCACCCTCATGTAGAGCTGAGATTTATGATCTAACCTACTGTCTGATCACACTGAGTGCGGAGTAACTGGGATATTAGAGCCTTCAGCACGTTGGAGCTGCCTCAGGAAGTGGCACCCTTTACTGTGATGCTCCACAGGATATCAGGGCAAGTGCAGGGAATTGCACCATCCTATCTTAGGAAAGTGAGTCTGTCTCCTTACTGATCTCCTGGGACATCCCTGGAGACTAGCGAGAGCAGGCAGTGCTGTGTGCTGGGCTTCTTCACCGCAGAGACAGCTGCTTGAGGGAAGGCATTTTACATGCTGTAGCTCCCTCCTGTCACTTTTCATAATGTTACTGTGACCTATATAATCTTCACCCCAAATAAAAGGGGTGATGATACTTGGGGCCATAAATGTAGCCTATTTTGGAGAAGGGACAGCCCATGAAAAGCAGTCTGTGTTAAGGCTTGTGCTTCACTCTCGTATTTTGACCTTTTCTTCTAAACGTACTATATTGTATTATATAGGAAGTCAGTCTATATGGGCTCTATCTAGCCTCAAATATTATTAACCTGTAACATGATGAAATCTCTGAATTAGGTTTAGATCAGGTCACCATTAACATTTCCTATGTAAGCAAATTTTGCCCAAACTAAGCTTTGCTCTGTGCAGCATCACTCTCTTGTTCTCGTCCTACCTGCAGATGTCTGCTTTAGCTTCTCGTTTTTCTTTTTCCGCCACTTCCATGGTTTGAAGATCCTGCCCAGTGTTGCCAGTTTGCTGTTCCTCCTCACTGGCGGAGTTCGAATCCCTGAGACCAAGTAGTCAGAATGCATTGCAGGGGACTGCTCCATCTCATCTGAGAGGAGAAGAGAGGAAAGCCAGCTGTTAGACAAAAAGCTGCTGCATAGACTTAAAAAGGGGAGGCAAATGAGGCTCACCAGCTAACAAGCATTCAGTCTAGTCACCGAGATAAGTAGTGCAAGACTTTGAAAGAAAGTCTCTGCACTGCTGGAGCCGGCAGCCAGGCTGAGGGACGCCAGCCAGAGAGGCGTTCAACCTCACTGTGCCAGCCCAGTGCTTCCTACCAGCTGCTCTCTTGCCTATGGTCTTGCACAGTACCTGTCTGGATGCCAAATATTTCAGTATCTCCACTGCCACCATCCCTCATGGATTAATCAGGGATATTAGGCCCATAGAGAGAGGGACATGCTGAATTTGTACACCCTATGCTTTATTCCATCACTTTCCTACCTTTGTCCGTGCCTGGTACTCACCAAGGTAATGGTGTTACTCTCCCTCCCAAGGGCTGTGTCTAACTGCATTACAGCCTTCTGAAACGTGGAGAGCTGAGAGCTCCCAATAGCTTTAATAGAAGCAGTAGAAATTTAACACATCAGTAAACCAGGCCCATGCGGCCTCCAGTTAATCACATAAATGTAATGTTCATTTAGAAAAATTTAGACCTGTATGAAAAGCTGAGAGGAAGTGTGAGAAAGCTCAGGTCCCTTCTGAATTCCCAGCTTCCAGTTCTGTTCTCAGGCCACAGGATACTGCTGCCTTTTAAATGAACTGTTTTCACATAACCTAACACAGAACACACTGACTTGTGTGAGCTAATGCAAATCTTTTATGTAAGAATAGTTTGTTTGATATGTGCTACGTAAGTAAAATCCCAGAACTGTTGTGGAAATTTATTTCTTGAGGAAGCTAAAGGGAAAATTCTTTCCCTTTTGTCCAGCCAAGCCACAGGAGTTCAGAGATAATTCTTCAGCTGGAAAAGCAGTTTAGGTATTTTTAGTATTTTGTCTTGAAAATACACCGTAAGTTTTGCTCATAGGCAAGTCTTGCACGAAACAATGCATACTGACTATTCACAGTTGTGTGCTAGCCAGTACCATGAAAGTAAGTAGCACAGTTCCATAAATGGGGTTATTGATGGCTTTACTGAGCTTTGTATTTGAGCACCAACACAGTGATTGTTAAAAGAGAAGCTGCCATCAGTCATCAGACATGTTACATGAATAAAAACTGAATTGTTTTTTTCAACAATCAGTTATGATTTAAATGAGCAATGTGGAACTATGAACATATGCACATTTCCAAGTAATTTCTCTCTGGAACAACAACATTTATCATAAATTGCTTTATGGCTGCAAGATAAAAACTATACAGCATCTTCTAGGCTTTGTTTTTAAGTTAACAGGGTGAAAATGCTTAAATCACAGCATGGAGGTGGGGATTTCCAGGTAAACAGGAAACAATTTTTAGAAGATTATTAAACACAGCAGGGGAATCAACACATTCCTCCTCTTCCATTTAATTTTGAAAATACTGGTAATAGAGATGAATCATTCAGTGGAGACAAACTAAAAACTTGGGGCCATGTGAACTATCAGAGCAGAGAAAAGGCTGTAACAATTCCTGCCCCCTACACCATGCGTGCGCAGTGAATTTCTCTTTCTGTGTACTGAATTTAGAGCATCTTTTGTCTCATTCCACAGAGTTTATCTTGGGGTTTAATTTAGAAGATATTTAAAATGTAAATAAAAATATATTTTTGCCTTTGAAAGAATGGTGTCTACCCAAGGTGGTATTTATGATTTACAGTTTGGAGGTCAATATTAAGTTGAGAGCAGAAACTAGCAATGAACCTAGCACAGAAGGAGGGCAGTAGCCTACAGACCACAGCTGGAGTGCCAAGATCTCATGCTCCTTTCCTAATTGTGTATTCAAAACTAACAAGTATCGCAGAAATAAGCTTTGAAGAAGTAGAGCTGCTCTTGATTACAGAGATGGCAATGAGAACGGAAAATGGCAGAGTAGATCTGCTATTAATTTGCTGTTATGATTACTTTAAAGCTGTAATAGAAGCCTCAGAAAATAGCATTTAGCCATTTCTTGTGACCTCCCTTGAGTGGGAATGGAAATGTTCACAAAACTAGCTCATCTCAAAAGAGCTGTAGATCAGACTGTAAATCAGACCCTTGTCCCTGGAAGCTACAGTGGAGTAGGACAGCTTCAGGTTAGCCATCCCTGGAGACCAGTGGAGACTGCACTGGTGCTCAAACACTTCCTACCATCCCAGGAATTTCTCAAGCATGTAAGTGAAGATTAAATAAGAAGCTGATTTAAAGCAGTACCTTGGCAAGTTACTGATCCTACTGCATTTCATTCAGGATGTAGGTGTCTGCAAAGTGGTTTAGGCATCGTCCACATGTTTTGTTTAACGCTGGTAGCATGAGTTCATTTTACCTTTTTTGCCAGATAGCAGGGGGAGTGGACAGAACCAGGAAGTCATTCAAAGCCCAGCTTGTGTGTCTCTAGCAATGTTTATTATCCCAGACATTCCCCTAAGAAAGAGAACGGGGAGATACTGCAAAGGCACTAAGGATTCCTTAAGTGCCCTGTAGTGATCAGTGCTTCTGCAGTTTCTACCAGCCCTACCAAGTGGGTTTCTTCGATCCCCTTCTGCCCTCTAGGTTGTGGAAGTGTAAGGATTTTACTCCTTAGACTTTGGTTACAGATTAAATACAGATAGAAAGCAAATGTCAAAGAAGGAATAGTAGCTAAAACAAAAGTTTCAGTGGAAGTTTTCGTGGGCTTTTTAACTTTATTAATGCCTCTCATATGGTACAGGCAGTTCTTAAGCAAATGGTTTTATCACCTGGTACATTCTCACCATATGCAGTTCCTACACTCTGCATTTGGAGAGATGGACACAAATAAAAATAGATAGAGACACAGTAAGACAGATGTCCTGAAGTCATAAATAACAAGGAAATGGTCTTACTGGCAACAAGAATTACAAGAAAGCCCTTGGAGCTCCTCATTTCCAGTCAGTTCATTTTTTTTCTTGGTTGTGGGTTGGCTGCTTGGGAGATAAGAAGTTGACAGCACAAAAAGCAGTTCCCACGTACAGCAATGAATACTGAAGGAGAAGGCGCACCTAAATATCAGCCAGTTCCTGCAGCCAACAAGCTGCCAAGACTTGCCAACCCTCCAACCGCTCTGTGGAAATATTCAGCACATTTTTTAATCTGCAGTCAATATTTTAATTATGCTAACTGTTCTGTAGAATAATGCAGTTATTTCTCCCAGAGCCTGATAGCCTGGGGCCAGGCCATGCAATTACACAGAGGATGTCTGCAGAATATACACAGCCGAGAGCCAAATTGAAACTCCCCATGTCAGCAGGGAGAGATGAGCTTAACTAGCTGTGTAACGTAGAAGGCTGAGGGACAGTTGTTATACAGGGTCAAGCAAGCACAGGCTTAACCCACAGCACAGCAAGCGAACCCTACCCAACACAGGGAGGCCAGGCTCTGCTTGGCCATCGCTGTTGAGACAGACCAATTGGTCCCATGCTGTCCCACAGGGAGACAGTTGTCAGCCCTGTGGGGCCAGAGCATTTTGCTCTGACTGAAGCTTGTTGACTGTTTATACAGAAATTATTTTCTAGACCCTGCTGTACCCTCTTGAGGGCAAAGGCTTCTGTGCTGGAGCTCCAGATCCAAACAAAACCCCTCATATATCACACAGTTGTAATCTGCTCTGTGTGTGTCAAAGGGGTGGAAGCAAACGTGTCTGTGCCCCTGCTGATGATGCTGGGCAAGTGCTTCTTGCAGTGCTAGCTGGGGTAATTTCTAGAGCTTCTAACAGCGGTCAAGAGTGCGAATGGCACGATGTCCCAGACATCCCAAATCAGATGAGAGGAGGGGTTCTGACCTGATGGATATTGCTCTGCAGTATTGCTCTCGGCTGCAGAATAAACCAGGCAACAGAGAAGAAGGAAACAAACCATAATATTCGTTACATTTGGCTGCAGGGTCTGACCCCTCGGAAAGCCTGAGCATCTGCAGCTTCTGTTTACATCAGCAGCAGTTGTGGTGATCAGTGTTTCTGAAAAATGCTCCATTGCTTTCTTCTTTAAAGTATTGTGGTGGCGTAGATAGAATACTCTTCCTGTTAGTCCCTTCTCCATAGGAATTGTGCATGGATCGTGCAGTTTTTCTGCACATAGAAGCTCTCCCATTTACAGATGTCAAGCCCTGACTCTATCCCATCCAGCCTCCCACAGAAGTGGGGCAGGTTTGCTGGGAGTAGTGTGAAGTTTGAGTCCTGGATGTGTGATGGAAGAGTGCCCTATGCCTGCACATAGCCTTCGTTTGTACAGCAGATGGTTTTGGTGCTGAGACAATCACGTCTGGTGATAAGAGTGTTGTGAAACTGAGCATTGGGTTCAGTCAGTTGGGTCTATCTTCTTGGGTTTTCCATGATGAGCCAAAAAGTCTTGATGCCTGGGTTGCTGATTATAGCAACTGCAGGCTGCACTCTGCAGGCTGGTGTATGGCAGTTGGGAACATCAGGGATGCAGAGCCAAGTTATAGTGACCTTGCCACGGAGAAAGGCTGTAAGAGACTTGGGATGCCCTCTTGTGAATATGCAAATTGCAGCAAGAAGTTTATGGGAAGATGAAGGATGCTGAATTTTAATGTGCTGGGAATTTTGGTAACTTAAATTCATGGTAATGGAAGTTGTGCCTTGCTAAATCCTCTGTGTACACTGTTAGGAGGACCACTGAAAAATCTGCAACCTGCAGGCAGTTTAAAAATAACGCAGCAGACAAGAGCTGCAGGCAAATTTGTAAGGCAGGAGTGCTGTGTGTGCTGATGAATTGGTTTGTAATGCAGCTCTGCATGTTCTCCTGTTTGTTGTCATTGCATCTGTCTTTGCAACTCAGATACAGAGTTAAAAAAGTGGGGGGAAAAAAAAAAAGGTTCCCTTTGGTCCACTCCAGAGGGTAGAGACAGCGAATGGAATCAAAATTACCATTTTGGCTTTTGGGATAGAGGTGCCT